GAAAATTATGCTGTCAGCACAGGACAAAGTAGTATTACGTAGTTAGTATCAGCAATTTCTTATGCTGAAGTGTACGATGTGTTGCATACCTATTTGCAAACAATTCCTTTAAATTTAATTTTTCAAACAATTTTTAACACGAAGAAAGTGATTAAACAAATTGTTCTCCGCTCTATCTTCTATGTTTGGTTAAGTTAAGGTATACTGTTAAGGTAAAACGTTCATCCAACATAAACATTTCACATTTCTTTATCGGAATTTCACCTTTTCTGACGCACGAGCGAAATCTACAGATAATGTGATGTTTGAAATACGTTGGAGCAGTTAATGTTTTCCCGAATCACTGAAGTTGCACACTTTAGATTGGTTATAGTCAGCGAGACCGGCAAATCGAGCTTCGTCGACAGTAGCAGCAGATAATAAGAGGTCTAGCAAGCCTTTGAAGATGCCGACTATCACCTAGAATGTTTTTTAACCCGGCTAACTTGCTTCCATCTTTATTTCTAATGATGTTATTTTCATACGAAAATTGCTTGGAATTCCAAAAATTCACGTTTTTATATGCCTATACGGACACAGTTCCTTATTACATTTAATTAACCGTCTTGTTTTGGTGCACTTAACTTGCTACAAGTAAACACTTTAAGGCAGAGGAAGCGATAAATTTTAGCACTTCGGCTAGAAACCGACACTTATCATCGATTTTATTTTCAGTTGAGAGACCGAAGTTCAAATAGTAAAAGGAAAATTACCCGCAATGGTATAGAGATCAATCAAAGTCTAAGGAAGTTTCTGGAATAACTGTTTTTTTTTGTGTAGGCGTTGTACCTCTACCTACCCGTGTAACCAGTTTATTATATTTGTTTACAGTAATACACTATATACACTTGATATCATTTATATCCATACGTATATAACGGTTTGCACTCCATTTATATCACCTGTCTTTAACCAACTGCATTATAGCATGTTCTTGATTATTCCGAAAGCTTCTCGTCATTTCCTTTTACAACCGTAGCTGTCTGCATCAAAAGGAGCCGCGGTATCGATCGTCGCCTGCGACACTCGGTCGCACCAACCTTTTAAGCACTACAATTAATTACTTCAGACCAACAATAATATAATTTATTATTATATTTTTACAGAATTCTATTTAAATGTGCCTATTGCGGGAGCGATATTTACCACCCTTAGCCCTCCCCGCAACGTCAAATTTTAGCTTTATGTAAAGCTATTAAAGTAAATGGATTGCACAGGTGTATTTATTAAGTACCTGCAGCCAGTAGCCGGGGAAGGGATGCCCTCTTAAGAATGATTTACTGTTGTATTTTCAGAGAAGTTAAAAAAAAAAACCAGTGCTACCCTTGTTAGTCATGCTATAAACTGCTTTAACTGTGTAATAAAACTTTAACGTAATTTTAGCAAAAGGTCCACGCTCCAGTAATTTCCTACCCCACAAATGCTTACGGAGTCATTAAAATTGTAGAACCTACATTCCATCTGCACTCTAATTGCAAAAAAATAAAATAAAATTGGTTTAACGGGTATCGGATGTATCATATATGAAACGTAATACGATGTTACTAATTCAGCTTTTATCTAACGTCTGTAACTAAAATTTACCATTACATATTGGCGAAGGTTTATTTGAGGTGGAAATTACCGAATCTTGAAGACAGAAAGAACCATGGCCGTAAACGATGAACACCTGCAGATTTGACTTCAAAAAGAGAAAAATGGCCCTTGTAAAGGTCTCGTTTCGGGAACCCATAGCGAGCTTATTTACAACCAATATATCTCCTAGCAGCGGCCTCTTTGAGCCACCAGATAATGGGCTGTATTTTAATAATTTATTGACAATTACAATGCGCCTTAACTTAATCAGTAGCGGCGCTTAAGACATGTCAAGAGATCCTTTGAAAGTATAATTACTTTCGGTTGCATCAAATGATTATATAGCATTTATATTATATGTATTGGTATCCATTCTAAATATAAATAGGTATATACTCGCCGCCTACTAATCAGTAGACTCAGACGCCAACAAAATGATACATATTGGTGAATGTGCCGGGACTGCAAAATCAGAGATCAATAGTATTGATTTTACTTATTATTTCTGTAGTTTTGGCAATTCGTTTGCGTAGATTAAAGGTACATGTATCATGTATGCATCAAATGAAATGTTTCGGCATTTTACAGACTTTAAAAAAGAGTACAGGACGATTAGCCACACGGCTCACGCATGTAACACTCGTACATCTTTGTTTTAGACAATGGTCCTCTATTTCTTCGCGTTCTGTTTTGCCTATCCCAAAAGAGAAGCCAGTGAATTAATAGAAGCCACTATTAATACGAACATGATTCATAGGCTGCAAGAATCCAAAACGTCCAAATCCAACGATGAGATGCGTTCTCTCAAAAAGGTTTACCTTTCGAACAGATTTATCACATGCAACGATAAATCTCAAGCAGGGTATGGTTATAATTTGTACTACTGTTTATTCAGTTATTAGATGTCGAAACGTTTTTGTAGATTTTACTTGCGAAAATCTAGTACCAGTAGAAAATGGATTGTCTTCCTGGAAGGGGGTTGGTACTGCTACGACCACCACACCTGTCGGAATAGATGGTTGAGGCAAAGACATTTCATGACTTCGTCTCAATGGCCAGAAACTAAAGATGGTACAAATATATCAGACATCTTTTTCCACAATTTCTTTACGATACGCATCTTCGATTTGTTTTTGTAGTTGGTGGAATTCTTTCCCCTAACGAATATGAGAATCCCTATTGGTGGAATTCGAACCACGTGTTCATCCCGTACTGCTCCAGCGATACATGGAGCGGAACGAGAAAAGCTTCAAGGAATGAAATGTTTAGTTTCATGGGTGCTTCTATAGTCCAGCAAGTGGTTAGGGATTTAGTCCCTCTGGGACTAGAGAATAGCACGGAACTTCTTCTCGTCGGTAGCAGTGCAGGAGGGACGGGGGTTATGATCAATTTGGACCCAGTGCAAGAACTATTACATCGGGTTCTAAAACTGAATCACATTACAGTCAGGGGTGTTGCTGATTCCGGATGGTTTTTGGACAGAACACCATACGCACCAAAAGGAACCCCAACGGTAAAATCCCGAATTTTTGGGATGATTAAAACTGGCTGATCAGGGAATTATTATTACAGGTGGACGCTATACGAAAGGGGATGCAACTCTGGCAAGGGAAAGTACCAAAACGTTGTAGACAAATGTATCTAGATGAACCTTGGAGATGCTATTTTGGATATAGGTTGTACCCCACATTAAAAGGTACCTAACAGCATCACCGCAATCTTCTCGCACTAACGTCTAAATTTCCAGCTCCTCTGTTCATATTTCAATGGCTCTTCGACGAAGCGCAGATGGACGCTGACAACGTTGGAGCGCCAGTAACCAAACAACAATGGGACTACATTCACAAAATGGGCGACGCCCTTAGGCAAAGTTTTGAAAACGTTTCGGCAGTTTTCGCGCCATCCTGTATTTCCCATTCCATCCTAACGAAAAGAGACTGGTTAAATTTAAAAATCGACGAGATTTCTTTTGCCGAATCGCTCCAATGTTGGGAGCAGCGGCCGATCAAAAGGAGGATGCATAAGAAGAAGTTCATGAAACTGTATGCCGAAGAATCGACTTTGGGACATCAGAAATCTAAAATTTCTCCCAAAATGCAAACGTATGAACTTGCTAACGTCACCAAAGACAACGTGACCGTCAAATATGAAGAAGAAAATTCGAGACTCAAACAACTCGATACAAACAAGAGGCGCAAGAACAAAAAAAGGAAAAGGCGAAGGAATAAAAGGAGAAGAGGTAAATATTATATAAATATAGGTGTATGTTTTCTCCTATACAAGTTTTGTTAGGTTTCAATTGTTTCTTAGATAAAAATCAACAGCAAAATTCTTCTGCGAATTCTGCGGCAAATCAGCCTCTTCTTCAAACGTCAAGGTCCGAAAGGTCAGTATTAAGGTCACAGAAACATCCTAGATCACGCCCTTGCCACGACAGACTGTTAGAAAGATGCAGTTGGCCTCAGTGTAATAGGTCGTGCCCCCGTTTACATAACCCTTTCACAGGGGAAGAAATGGACTTCATCGATCTCCTCAAATCATTCGGTTTAGATATGGAAAATGTTGCCGACGCTCTCGGTATCGATTTGCCCACACTCAACAATATGGACCATGGTGACCTCCTCAATATGCTTACGCAACAAACCAATTGAATACAAAAATAAAATAACAATAGACTGCTGGGGACTGGTATCTGTATTATCAATTAGTTCTTTTCTCCTTTTTTA